TTTTGCAACTTTGCCAGGCTGTAAAACCTAAACGGTTAATTTTAGAGGAAAACCGATTTCACATTCCTGTCTTAGATTTTTATACACTATCATTTGACACCAGCTTTGAATTTAATCTATGATTAAAATTTCCAGTTAAATTTATTCTCCGGATAAATTCAAAGTTGGTGTCAAATGATAGTTTATGAAAATCTAAGATAGGAATGTAAAATCGGTTTTCCTCTAAATTTAACGGTTTAGGTTTTACAGCCTGTCAAAGTTGCAAAAAGTCAATTTTTAACTGTCAATATTTCCGAAACAGTTGAAGATAGGTATAGGACATGTTTCACGAAAAACACTTAGAATTTTATCAGAAATCCGAAAATATAAAAAAAACTAGGGGTGTTCATTAAAAAAAATTAAGTTACCACCTGTCCAGCTTTTCTGCGACCACCCTGTATAATAATTTCATTTTATAAAAAATCCTTGATAAAAAATAAAATTGACGTGTTCGAGGATTTTTAAAAAAATTGCTCGGAAGAATAATTATTGAATTTATTCCTTACTTTACGCCCGCACTGTATGTTTTCTTAAGTGGCCTTTTTATATTATCCATGTGAATTTTTCCGTGAGCGTTTGTTGACACGGTTTTGCGAGTTTTGTTGACCGCAGTAATTTTCACAGGTTTTGAGAATTTTTCGCCGAGTTTCTGACGAGTGTGTTTTTGATATGTATGACCTGTCCGGGTTCAAACAATTCTGGGCTATCGCGTTTCTCGTTGATTTTTGTAATTACTGATTCTTTGTTTTGAATTAACTTTTCGTTAATTTTTGAGTAAAGTAGTTCAGATCGGTCCTTATGTTCACTAATATAATCAGACAATAATAATTGATCTAAATTTAGTGGAATTATTGAAATTTTGGGCATTTAATAATCTAACAAATTCGGCAATTGTGGAATGGAAACGTTCAATTGCACCGTTTGATTGTGGGTGATTGGGCGAAATAAAGTGAATTTTAACTTTATGTAATTGTAAAAGTTCCGTAACGACAGTGCTCTTAAATTCGGTTCCGTTATCCAAGATAATTTGTTTCGGAACACCGTGGTGTGAAAAGAAGGAAAGGAGACTGTCGGCTATCTCTGTTGCTGCCAAATATTTTAGGACATAGGCTTAGGCGTACTTTGAAAAACTATCTAATGTCGGACGGGAATGTCGTTTTTATTGGTCACATCAATTAGTCTTTTCAAGCATCGTTTGAAATGCAAAGACGGCCATCTGAAATATTTTCTCGCCACTTCGCAGAATGGTTCGTAAACGCCTTGATCTTCAAAATATAAATAGAGGAGTTTACCGGGAACTACGTTTTCCTTAACCATGGACGCCGGCAGCAGGGTGCAAAGGGGTGCACTTGCACCCCCCTGTCAGAAATACTTTGAAAGAGGAACGATGGCCCCCTCGCACTCTTTGTTCCCCGCGACCCCCTAGTTTATTGATTCCTATCTTCTAAAATATCATTTACCATACCGCCCATGCCTAATAATGTTCGTTTCTGTGGTTGAGAGCATCTGGCAACGCTGAGCGTGCTTCTGAAGTATTCCGAATATATCCGACCATAATTCCGAGAAACACAGACCGACCCAACAGTCCATAGTCCATATATTGTGATTTGATTACCACTATTTCCAAGCCGCATTGTCATTTTCCTACGTTTTACGTGTCACTCAAAGGCAGTGGCGCACCCAGAGGGGGGCATTGGTCCAGGCCCCTCCTAGGCCGCCCGTCCAAAACTGTATTTTTACGTACAAAAAAATTTGACATCATGGCGGGGCACCCTGACACGTCAATGTTTTATTTAGATTTTTAGACACAAGCCACAACCTTTGTAGGGTCCTCCCATTCCCCAAACATGTTTTCTGGGTGCACCACTGCTCAAGGGATAGGTTAGGCCTAGGGGCCCCCAAATATATTTTGCCCTGAGGGCCACTCGTCCCTAGATCCGCCACTGCCCGTGCCACTTTCCACCGAGGTGAACACATCATATGATTTACTTAATCACCTAGAAAAAATATTTTTCTTAAAGCTCAAAATAACCGTTTTTGGGCGTGGCACCCGGAAAAGTTTTCGTCGCTCCGGCAGCTCCTGCGTCAGGCATTCACCTTCTTAAATTATTAATTTGAACTAATATAACAATCCACGTGCCGCCACTGCCCGTATGCACCTCCCTGAAACTAATCCTGGCGGCGCCCATGTCCTTAACAAATCCTAATATATCTGCTTCAAAATCATTTTTACTAAGTTGGACAGTGATTCGAATTCGGCGTTTCTTTTCGAGAAGGATGGTTATTTTTGGTTTTGCTGGTGAATGTAGCACTTGTGAAATGATGATTTGATTGGCGCCATAATTTAATGCTGTGTCTAATATGGGAATTCCAACAATTGGGTCTTATTCATTATTTGTGTGTATCGTATTGTTATCGTCGTCTTGCATGTCGGGCATATCAGGAGGCTCGGTGTCGGGTTGCGCTATGATAGACGCTTGGTCTAGATTATATTCTAGTTCGTGGGCAACTTTCTTTGGTGTTGAGGGGTTGTTGTCCGAGGCTTCTTGTTCTAGCTGTTTGTTAAAGTCTTCAATATATTCTTTGAGCGAGAAATCCTGACCTTCCTTAACATGTATTTCAATGCGCGATAATGCGTCGGCATTTGTGTTGCCTTTTCCTTTTTTGTACAATATTTGATAATCAAATTCTTCTAGCTTAATTCGCCAGTACAGAAGCTTACCACCTATATCTTTTATAGAAAAAAGCCATTGTAGTGGTTTATGATCTGTCATGATATTGAATTTTCGGCCGTACAAGTAAGGTCTGAAATATTTAGTGGCCCAAACAAGGCACAAACACTCCTTTTCTATTGTCGAATAATTCTGCTCGGAGTCCTTGAGTGTGCGTGGAGCGTACGCTATAGGGAGATCGTTTCCAGGAGGACCTTGGCTTAGAACTGATCCCGAAGCTACATTGCTTGCATCCGTCGTAAGGTTAAATGGCTTGGAAAAATCGGGGTACTGCAATATAGGTTCGTTGGTCAGAAGATTTTTGCAGGTTTCGAAACATTCTACGAATTCTGGATTGTGTTCGATCTTTGCTCCTTTTTTAAAACATTTGGTCAATGGTTTGGTGATCTTCGCAAAATTATGGATAAATCTTCTGTAATACCCTAGTAAACCAAGAAATCCTTTAATTTGTTTAGTTGTTGTGGGAATTGGATATTTTTTAATTGCGGCGATTTTATTAGGATTGGGCTTAACTCCCTCAGGTGTAACTACATGCCCGAGGTAAGCAACTTCTCGTCTCAGGAACTCGCTTTTGTCAAGCTGTACTTTAAAATTCGACTCTCTTAGTCTTTTGAAAACTTGCTTTAGGTTATCGACATGTTCCTGGAGTGAAGTCGAAAAAACGTTTATGTCGTCTAGGTACACGAGACATTTTTCGTTTTGTATGCCTCTCAAGATTGAATCCATGACTCTCTGGAACGTGGCGGAAGCGTTCTTAAGCCCGAAGGGCGTCCTCAAAAATTCATAGTGGCCATTCTCTGTATTGAATGCCGTTTTGGGGATGTCCTCTTCGCTCATCTCGATTTGGTGGATGCCGGACGCCAAATCTAAGGTAGTAAAATATTGAACCTTGCCTAATTTGTCCAATAAGTCTGTGATATTAGGTAATGGAAATTTGTCATCTATCGTCTTTTCATTCAGTTTCCTGTAATCGATGACTACTCTCCATTTTTGTTGTCCTGTCGCGTCTAGTACCACCCAGATGGGACTTGACCACAGACTATTTGATGGTCTAATTATTCTTTGGTCAAGCATTTTTTTAATTTGGCTTTATACTTCTCTTTTGTGGATAAACGGGTACCTATAAGTTTTGCTGTAAATGGGAATTTCATTCGAAGTTCGAATATTTTGTTTTATCTTTGTTGTAAATGAGAGTGGTGTATTTTCTTGATAAAATACATCAGCAAATTCCTTGCAAGGTGTAAAATTGTTTCGCGTTCTTCTTGGTTAAGGTGGTCTACGCGGATTTTCAAAAGGTCCAAGTCTGGAGGAGGCGAATCGTCAAATACTGTATTCCTTTTACCTGTTGAGTTACTCGGAGCTTCTTAATGTCACAAGCTTGAACGTTCCTTTTAAAAGTGCGTTAAACACTCGAGTCGCTCATAGTAAATCCCCCTTTCCCCTGATGCACCAAATTTGCGGGGGGTGCAAGAAGCCCTTTTAGGTGATGACGATATTGTTAATATTAAAAAATAATGATAAAATCTGAATTGTGTGTTTTGGAGTGACTCCGAGGAGCTCGTTCGGTGTAACTCGATCTATAAAAGGAATACAGTAAAAGTGGTTTAGGTCAATATTTTGGAGTTATTTGAGGCAGAATTTTTCTACCATTAGAGGTTCTGAAAAATTGAGTGTGATGGCATCGCATGAGTTATTTAAAATCGTTGTTAATGCGTAATCGAAGAATTTCACAATTTCACAAGAATTTCACAATTTTTAATTTTTTTGATGGGGAATGATTATTTCTCCATTATTAATAGAAGTCTTCACTTTTATTACTTGTTCGCTTCGTGGTTTTATTGTGATACAATTGAGTTCAGTTTGGGTTTTATGAAATTTTAGTTTAATTTGTGCCTATTAGGCCGTCGAAAACGTTGGGGAATTTGAAAAGATAGAATTTCAAATTTTTACTCTCAGGCAAATTGAAAATTTTTGAAGTTGGCATCAAAGCGCTAAATCTGTGAGCGGATTTTTTAAAAACTGTACTGACGATGAACGGGTCTTCTTGGATGCAATTTGAGAAATATTTTTGGGCTAAGTCTGGGTTAAGGAAAGATTTTGTAGTTTTATGTTATTTTCGGGAAATATTATATATGATAATTCGCTCGAATTTGCCATATTCAAGGAGATGACTAAGTTTGATTGTCCTCTTGAGGCGTTATTTGAAAATTTACATCTTGCTCGGCTAGGTCAGTTCCATTGGTATTGGTATTTGGCATTATCATAGGTCGGTATTGGTGCCAAAGATTCGTTGGTAAAATTTACTGGGTAATTATAATAATCGGAAGAAGGGTTTTCTTCAGTACTATAGTAGTATTGAGTCTCCGTGTCATTGTAATTGTTCTCGAAATCACTGGAATAATACTGGTATGATTGGTCAGAAACGGGTTCATTCATTTCAGCATTATATAATTCCTCGAAAGTATATTTCGGCTGGGTTTGGTACGAGGTTGAAGGTTGGAATCTAGGAGTAGATGGCATAGTTTGGGATTGTTTTGGCTTAAATCCAGAAGTACAGACGCTCATTGGTTGTGGTGCTGGTAGCGGCCTATTACGATTGGGATTTGGTTTAAACACTTTCGATTGGTTTGGTTTTCCAAACACTCTAGAGTTTGTGGCAAAATTCTCGGAGTATTATTGAAATTTGGCCTTATATTGATAGGTTGGAATGGAAATCTCGTATATTAGTGGGTGTTATTTTCCTGTATGACCATTTGGTGAGCTGCAGCTAAATTGGTGGGACGCATGCAGCGTATGGTAGTACCTAGGGGCTCTCGTAATCCGGAAAGGAAAGTTTTTAGAGCCAATTTGTTATACTTACAAAGATATTTTAAGAATTTTACTTGTGGGGGTTGTTTCATGGATGTCAATGTGTGAGCAAAGCAGGTTTAAAATATGGACAACCCTATCATAAAATTGGCTAGGCTGTTCATTTTGATTTTGCCTTAGCATGACCAAATCTCTATTGAGACAAGATTCGTCTCTTTGGTCGGCGAAATTGCGCCTTAATGTATCCTTTAAATCGTCCCATGTAGACATTTTGGATATTTACAACAACCTTTGCTGTTCCTGTTAGTTTACTCATCAACCTATTAATCAAGAAAATATTTTGAAATTTATTTGCTATTTTATCGCTATTATCGTGAAATTGAGTTATCAAGCTGTCACAAGTTGTCAAATAACCAACTTTATCAATTACGCATTATACAGTAAATTATCCACTATCCACTATGCGTTATATAATAGTTATTTACATTACAAGTGCGTTTATGAACATGATTACAATAACGAGTGTGAAAGATTAGAACGATGAGGTCGTAGACCGAGTCGTTCTAATCACACGAGTTTTGTAGTCATGTTTAAACGCACGTGTGATGTACAACGTTTTATCTACAAAGCGAAAAATAAGAATGTTTTTCCATTTATTTTTGTTTATTAGTATTAGTTGTCTACCTTCATTTTACCTTTTACAGGTTTACCTTTGACATTTGTCAAATCACCAAAAATAGTTGTGTTATAGATTCATAACCTCGTCCATAACACCACTAGTTGCGTTATGAATTCCTAACCTAGTCTATAACACCACTAGTTGTGTTATGAGTCTCATAACATAACTGAAATACTAGAAAAAGGGTTATGTAAGAACGTCATAACCAAACGCTTGTAGATAAATGGATGTATTTAAATGTGAAGATTTATAATGTATCTATTATGAATTAAAATTGTGCATTATGCATTAAGAGTTAGCTAAACCCATCTTAGATACTTAAAACACAAGAAAACAATTTTTTTTTTTAAATGAAGATGAGTTATGTAGGCTGATAAATTCTTCTTACGTTATATAACAACATTAATAACCCTATTAAAATTTCTAAAAGAATTTGCTCTTTAGAGTGAATGAACATAAATTTCCTTTTCACATAAAAAATACTCAAGACAATATTTTCCTTTTCAATTAAAATTTGTCATCATCAAGCAAGAATCCTTGACATTAGGAATTAATATTTTCACTAAGTCTCAAATTTGATTTGGGTTTTATAGATTTTTTATGTAAATGAGTGAATTCTCAAAAACCTTTGCGGAAATCTTCTAGTTTAATTACATACGAGGAGGCATGTTACCTATTTGCGATTTTTATTCAAAATTTACCTTCTCGTATTTAAAACTAGTTCTGATGATTAGCTTAGAAAGATCACACATCATAAAGAAATTCTTTAAGCATAATTCTATACATACAAATGGCTTAACCTTTTCAACATCTCATCGTCGAATGCAAATCATTGGCACTCACTGGTCACCATATCTTTAGCTATAATATAATTTCAATAAGCATTCGAATATAATTTCAACTATTAACACCCTCCTTAATTCTTATTAATTGCCAAACAAGACAATAAAAAAAAAACAACAACAACATCAAGTTGCAGATTGCACAAGATGGATGGCATTTAATCGAGTCAATGTTAAATTAAAGTTCTTTTTCTTCGAAAGGAATTCCGGACAGTGGATTCTTTTATCTCTTTGGTAAACGTCGCACCTTCTCACTTGATGGTATCACGTGACGGCATTAATAAATTCAAGATTAAATTTATTGCGCCATTTTTTGAGGTGTGAGTATTTCTGCTGAATAAAAAAATTCCTGGTTCTCCCATATGATCAATGGTTCAATTATTGGCCTTGTTGCTTGATAATCAACAAAAATCATGGCCTAGACTTTCAATTTCGGAATTAGACATTTTTCTAGGACTGGCAATATAGAACAATTGAATCAATCAATAACATGTTTTTTTTTTTGTTGCAGATTCATAAAACTTCATTTTCATGTGATGGGAGGACGTCAGGATACTATGCTGATGTAGGCTCAGGATGTCAGGTAATTTGTTTTTTAAAATTATCTATTTAACTACCTTCTGAAAAATGATGAACTATTTTAGGTCTATCATATGTGCGATGGTCTCGGAAGGCAATTTAGCTATAAATGTCCCAAAAACACTCTGTTTCAACAAAGAATGCTAATATGCGATCATTGGTATATGGTGAATTGTAGCAAATCAGAAGAAGATTATAGGTTGGTATAGATTTTGAATCTATAAAAATCATGTATGTAGATATGAGGGTTTAATCGATTTTATTAGGTGACTAAAATATTAGACTCAATAGTATTATTAGGTCTATGCCTGATCACTTTTGTTTTTCAGAATAACAAATATTTAGTTATAAAATTAACACCGTTTGCAAAACGAAAATATTCGTTGATATTGATGGTATATTCAAAATATCAAACTATACTTGGGATAAAAAAGTTTAATTCTAATGCACCAAGTAATTTGTAGAAGGTAAATATGGGCTTAATTAAGTCGCACAGTGAGACAACTTTACATTATTTTTACTTGACTTGGAGTAAAATGCAATGAAGTTACAATCTTCTCTTAATGCACTTAATAATGCAAAAGATAAATTGCAAGAGAGAAAAGACGTTACCTGTCAGCGTGCGTTCTAAAGTAATTTGTATTTAATTTGTGTAAATATCAATCTTAATAATACTTTAATGTGTGTATTTTGCAAATGGCGTTTACATGCTCAATGTTTTATTAGTGCGATCTACTAAAATGGCAAAAAAACTTTTTTTTAGTGCTAATTTATTGATTGGCCAACAAGGCAAGGCATTTATTGAAGATTTGCAGTTTCAAAGAACACCGAGGCCCGATTTAGCTGGAACGGATTTCAATTTATATCGTACTACACAAGGGGCAATATCGACCAAAAACCTCGTAGGCATGTAAAATTTTAGACCTCCTATTATATTTCTTTTAATGATTTACATATTCAGGTGCAGAAGAAAGTGACTCTCACCTTGCCACTGACGAATATTTCCCACCATCTCACTGGTCTACAGAATTTTCAGCGCCTTCAACAACACCAGCACCTCGGAAGAGGGAAGAAAGTGACACTGGAGTATCTGGATTAACGAAACAAGTTTTCTATTCGACCAATTATAGGACCGGAAAAAGATTTTTGAGTAAAAAAGGAAAAGATGCAACTAATTCTATCAATAGAGTTGGTAAATTGTTTTACTATATGATACTTTTTGGAGGTATTATTTACCCAATTTTTTTTTAGATAATTCTGAAGCAACCAGATCCAAAGTTAAGACTGATGATTCAGAAAAATCTTTACCAAGTGGCGTTAATTTTCCTTCAAGATTCAAAGCAACTACTCCTGTCTATCCTAAAGACTTAGGCATAGACGTATCTAAATTTACCGATTTTGCAAATGCTCCTGAAGAGAGTGAGAGTAATAACAATAACAAAAATCCAATAGTAAATTTTCCCTCAAATTATCAAGGTAAATAATTTTGTTTAAAAACAATTTTGTGACTAAAACTACTAACAATAAATTTTAATGAAATTTACAGGCACTACCCCTCTTTACCCTTTTTATGTTGACTATAGTTCCGCTTCATTATCAGTTTATGACATGCCCAGTGATGACACAAAAAGGAAGAACACTAATAATTTCGTTAATTTCACATCAGATTTTCAAGGTTTGTTTTTAAAAAAATTCAAAAACAAATCTGAAATAGTTTATGGTGAAAACTAAAAAAAATGTATTTCAACAGCAACAACTCCAATTTTTCCATTGCCCCTGGAAGTAGTAGAAGAGTCACAGCAAAAAGTCGAATTTGATTATCCGATAATTGAAGATTTGTACGATGATTTATCTTCAGTTAATTTTGGGTCAAAATTTGAAGGTTTGGATTTAAAAATTATCTCTAATTTTTCGCATATTTCTGGATCAAAATTTGAAATCATCGCATGTACGACATTTTTAAGGAATCCTCTTTGGTCTTATTCAGGGTGACAATTTGAAAGCTTAAAATTGGTTTATAGCTTCAGAATTGGAAAATATTTTCAAAAACTATACGTTGACTACTTATACATACCGAGTACAATAAATTTTGTTTAGCATAGGGATACCTACATTTCTTCCTCTATATGATAACTGATTATTATTATCCTATCCTACCTATTCTGTCTCACCCCTAGCAATAAACCTACTGGAAGATCTCCTTTGACTTTATATCCATTAAAAAATGTTTTCGATAGCACATTCATCTGAGTATTTTCTGATTGACTGAGAAAAGTAATAAAGTCTATCAATGTGGGCCTAAACCATGAGATTAAAAAAATGTGTACCAATTTCACAAGAGCAAAGTTGATTTTATGAGTCATGGATCATGTAGTGTCAAAAAGTGGTTAGAATGCTACGGTTGCTCCAGGAAAACACACCAAGTATGGGTATAACGCCACAGAACATACCACTATAACGCTTAGCTCTATACTATATTACATGTTCCTTGTCTAAGTGCCTTACCATACGAGCATCAGAGGTAAGCACGCCACATTGGTTCGTAGGTTTGGTTATGTAAGGCCGCCTATATATTCTGTCATAGGGCCTTACTGGGTATTATAGTGATCGCAACACGAGTCGTTAGACGTTAAGCTCCCTAGGATCTGGTATTCCTCAAAGAGTTCGTAACGGATCCTATATGTTTTGGCCACGCCGCCTTTTTATATTAATTTTGTACAAAAATTCCAATCGATTAACCTATTAATTAGGTTTTATAGTATACGATGTGGTATCATTATTATGTGCGTCTCACCAACCTCGTCATCGGAATCGGTAAATTTTTTCGCAATCTTAATTTTGGTGCTTTCCATACCCTGTTCCATCTAACCTTTCGGTAACAATTCTATACCTCATAGCAGAATGGAGTTTAAATGCTGCCCGTGCAAACCACCTACGAAAGAAATAAGGTACATGTCCTGTGTTATCTGTTTCAACATATTTCATAAAAGCTGCTCTGAAAGACTGGCATTCCAAAATCGCGGAATCAATTCAACTACATTCTTTGCAAATTGATTTAGCTCATAGCATGACTTTAAATAGTCAAAATATAACAAACGCTTTGCCATCAGACGGGTCTCCTCAAATTCTTAATAGATCCAAAAACTCAACCTCTCGTCCTCTTAGTCTGTTTGAAGAGCTGAATAGCAGCTGTAACGGAAGTGGCACAAATCTCAACTCTTCCTGCTCTTTTTTAGGAGAGAAACTAACACAGTTAGGAGGCCCTCCGCAAATGGTTTAGAACATGTCACAATTGTCACGCTCATGCTTTTGAACATTCAGTTAGCAAGGGGCAAGGCCGATGAATTGTTTGTCTTTCTGGAAACTAAAAAACTCCCTCATCTCGTCCTTCTTACGGAACATTGGCTTTAGAAGGGAGAACCTTTCGATGTCCCTAATTATTACGTCTTATCTAAGTTTTATCGAACAACCTTTAAAAATGGGGGGACCACTATCTTGATAAGTTCTGAATTTGCATCCAGCTCGGACTTCTGCGACTGCGATAAATTTGACTTTTTATTGTCTGAAAAACTATTTGAATTCTCTCTACTTTTCTCAAGGTCCCTGAATACATATTATATTCTCTGTATCTATCGTTCCCCTGGCACTTGCGTTTCGGACTTTGTGGATTTTGAAATACTTCTCTCGAACATACCACCAAATTCCAGAATGATAGTTGCGGGATACCTTAATATAGATTCAAACAAATTCACTACAACCTAATTTTTGCGCCATTGTGTTTCTTTCGAGGTTTTATACAACTGGTTAAAAATCCCAAAAAATCCGCTATGGAGCGCAGCTCCTAAATCACCCCCAAAAGTACATTTTTTAAGCACAAAATTTGCAATTATTTGGTATAAGATACTTGATTATTTAAAAAAGATTAAGATATACAGGGTGAATTATTAAGCGCGTGGTGTTCTATAATTTCTATTTAGAGATCGAAAAAACCACTTAATAAAAAACTTGTAGATAAACATGAGTAGTATATTATATTCCTAAATTATTTTCCAGTATACAGGGTGGCCCAATAAGTAGTGATGAAACAAAGTTAGAAGTTTTTAAATTACTCCCCCTGTATATTATGACATTTTTGGATTCTGCGGAAAATTCTAGACATATTTCATGTACAATATTATATACCTATCTTCAACTCTTTTGAAAATATTGACAGTTGAAAATTGACGTGTTTGCATCTTGCATCTTTGACAGACTGTAAAACCTGAACGGTTAATTTTACAGTAGAACCGATCATACAATCTTATCTCAGTTTTTCATAAACTATCATTAGACACCAACTTTGAATTTAGTCCATGATTGAAAATTTCGATAAAATTATTAATCTCCGGTTAAATCCAAAGTTGGTGTCAAATGATAGCTAATGAAAATCTAGGATAGGAATCGGTTCTGCTATAAAATCAACCGTTTAGGTTTTACAGTCTGTCAAAGATGCTAAAAAGTCAATTTTAGACTGTCAATATTTTCGAAACAGTTGAAGATAGGTATATGACATTGTACATGCAATATGTCTAGAATTTTCCATAGAATCCAGAAATCTCATAATATACAGGAAGATTCATTTAAAAAAAAAAACACAGCTTTGTACCACCACTACTCATTGAGCCACCCTGTAAGTTGGAAAATAATTTAGGAATGTAGTACTCATCTACAAGTTTTGTATTTAGTTTTTTCTTCGATCTCCGTTAGTAGTTTAGGATATATGAACCACCGCGCGCTTAGTAACTCATCCTGTATAAGAGTATAATAGTTATTTATACACCAAGTGAGTTAAATGAATGTTTATTCATGAGTTAATTTTCTTCGAATAAATAAACATTTTAACTAATGTGCTATAAGTATACAAAATTTTATCCCATTTTGTGGAATATTAGAAGAAAAAGTATCAGGAAAAATGTCAGATTTTTAGTTAGGCAAAGTGACCTAAAATGCCGAGAGTGAGTTAATTTTTTTTATGTCATAATACATTATTGTGTTTTTATACCTTAGATACCATCTACATAATTCATTACTTTATGCCCGTGCGGGCATAAAGACGCAAAATAGTTATTTTCCTAACAAGTGCGCAAAGTGATACTTTCCCGCACGAAAAAGCAGTTAGACGCACGACGCGAAACGGAGTTCGGATAAGCTTTGAGTGCGGGAAAGACACTTTGCGCAAGTGTTAGGAACAATATTTTTTCTTCGAGTATCTTAAAAAAGTAGACTTTGAATTAATTGTTAAAATATTAGAAAAATCAATCAAATCAAAATCTTCAAAAATCCTTTAAAATCTATTGGAATTCCTCAGAATGTCTTTTAAATTAAATCCCCAAATATCTTTTTACATCTTCTGGAATTTCTAGAATCAGCAAGAATATTTTCATGAGAGTCTCTAAAATATCAAAAATTTTACAAATTCCTACCTTTGATAGGAAATATCAAGTTAACTAAGCATTAATTTCAACTAAAACCCTTCATTTTGAATATTAGTTTATTCAGAAACCATCAAAACATTGAAAAATCAAGTATAACTATGGTAATTATACGTAACAAAAATGAGTGCGCAAAGAGTTTAAATGAGTGTACAAAGTGATTACTTTGCGCACGCAAGTAGAAAAAACAATTTTCAATTAACTTATTCTTTATTAACAATAGTATATTTTATACTATTTTATTTGCAAGCACACCATTAATTATGATTAGTCATTAAATTTTTTTAATAATAAAAAAATAAAACAAACATGCCAAAATATGTCATTCACCTGTTTTGACGTTTTTACCTGACATGTTCTCATTGTTGCCAGCAAAGGTAAATAAATTAGAGTGAGGGAAATCGGTGAGGGAAGTCGAATAGGGAAATCGGTGAGGGAAATCGAAGAGGGAAGTAAAGGCCGTATCAGACGTGCCGTTGCCTTAAAGGCCTTAAAGGCCGTATCAGACGTACCGTTGCCGATTACTATTAACGATTACGATTGGGAATTCGACCAATCAAAATGTACCTGCTTCTGGTTGCGATTGCCGTTGTATGTTTAGGTTGGTGTCTAAATTTTACGAGGCCGTTCTGAACCGTAGCCAATGAAAGCACTCATATGAATAGCATGTGACATGTGTCTAAACGTCACTTTTTTATTTCGCAATTTATGGCTTCTCCGGTCTTGCACCCAAACCTATTTTGGTTTGGATCTTTCTTTTTCCTCTTCTTCCAATGTAATCATATAGCACAGCAATGCAGAAGAAACTTCCCGACGACGTTCGACGCTGTACTTTTAATCTTTTAGCTGCGAAATTTTGACATAAACATTTCAAGCGACCAGTAATCGGTAACGGAACGGTGTCAAGTGTGATTGCAACCGCGACGGCAACGGCAACGGCTAACAGAATCGGCAACGGCACGTCTGATACGGCCTTCACAGGTAAAGTGTCACTTTCAAATTTTTAAAAAGTCAGTAATGTCGAGATTACATATATGATTGCAAATAAAATATAAATTTACACTTATAAACATATTACTTTTGTCAAAAAATGATGATGTTTGCACACTGATGACAATTTGCGAAGTGACACTTTTTCCCAGGTATTTATTATTCACAACCAACTGGTATGACATAAAAGTTTGTATGCACCACGGGTACTAATAGATATATACCCTCGGGCGACTTACGAACCCTCGGGCCAGAGGCCCTCGGCTTTGTAAGACTGTCGCCCTCAGGGCATAATCATCTACTAGTACCCTTGATACATAAATAACTATTTGCATCACTGTATAGGTGATAAACGTCTACTTACCTTCATTGCTATGCGTTCAATAATGTCATTTTTAAACGTCAAAATGGGATAATAGTTATTTATACACCAAGTGAGTTAAATGAATGTTTATTCATGAGAAGAAAGTTTAACCCACGAGCCCTAGCGAGTGGGTTAATTTTCTTCGAATGAATAAACATTTTAACTCACGTGATGTATACAAAATGTTATCCCATTTTGTGGAAATTTAAAAAATAAAGTACAAGGAAAAATGCCGAGAATGAGTTAAAAATATTTTAAATCACTGAGGTTTCAGATTTTTAGTTGGTCAGAGTGACTTAAAATGCCGAGAGTGAGTTAAAATGTCAACTCGAAGGTTGATCCATTGAGTTATCTCGGAGACTTGCATGTCAACGAGTCTTTCTCATTTTTTCCCACCGATGTCCATGAAGTAAGATCTGTTCTTAAATCCATTAGAAAACAGTCCACAGCCGGTTCAGATGGTATATCCATAAAAATCTTGAGGGAACTTCCGGAACACGCCCTTGGTGTTCTATCGGAAGCAATCAACCTGTCCTTTTCATCGGGCATTTTTCCACCTAGTCTCAAGGACGCATTGGTAGTACCGAGCAACCGTTTTCCGGAACACGCCCTTGGTGTTCTATCGGAAGCAATCAACCTGTCCTTTTCATCGGGCATTTCTCCACCTAGTCTCAAGGACGCATTGGTAGTACCGAGCAACCGTTTTCCGGAACATGCCCTTGGTGTTCTATCGGAAGCAATCAACCTGCCCTTTTCATCGGGCATTTTTCCACCTAGTCTCAAGGACGCATTGGTAGTACCGATACATAAGGACGGGGATACAAAAGAGCCATCAAATTAACGCCCAATATCATTGTTATCAACAATATCCAAAGTTGTTGAGAAGCTTCTCAAAAAACGTATGATGGACTTCCTATCAAAACATAAAATTCTTAACTCCGCCCAATTTGGATTCCTTCCTAAGAAGGGTACCCATGATGCCATGTTTCGCGTTCTGGAGCAACTCTTGAAGCACTACAACAATGGCTTTGCTACCGCGGGGGTGTTCTGTGACTTCTCAAAGGCGTTTGACTGTGTGAGTCACAGAACTCTTCTGAGGAAGTTAGAGGTCTACGGCTTTAGGGGTGTGATCTCGAGGTTGTTGGAATCATATCTTCCACATCGCAGTCAGCGTGTCACCCTGGATGGAAAATGTTCTTCTGATCAGCCAATCGTCCGTGGGGTTCCACAGGGATCAGTCCTGGGACCAATATTACTCCTCATCTATATCAATTATCTTCTCTACCTTGATATATCGGGAGTCTTCACTGCGTTCGCGGATGATTCAACAGTTGTGTGGCACGGGGGAAGTTCTGATGAGCTGTTTCAGGTGATTTCTGGGGACATCAGGGCCATTAAGTGTTGGTGTGATGCAAATGGACTGCTTTTTAACTTTGGTAAGACTCGGGTGCTTGGGTTCCGATGTAATGTTGATGATATTGATTGTGACGAATTCTCTACCAAATCCTCTCTAAATACTTTCTTGGACTTCAACTTGACGTTGATCTTAAATAAAAATCGCATGTCACTGCACTTGGCGGGAAACTTGCTTCTGGTTGCTACTGTGTCCGAGCTGTGGCCACAAATTTTGATGCAAAATCAGTGTATTTTGCATTGATACAATCCCACCTTTCCTATGGACTACCCTTCTGGGGCGGTTGTAGCCAATACCTGTTTCAATCAGTGTTTTAACTCCAGAAGCGAGCAGTGGGCTTTATCGCTAGTGCCTCCTCGGTGGAACACTGCAAGCCCTTATTTAAAAAAAAATTAACATCTTAACATTGCCATGTATTTTTATACTTGAATCGATAAGTCTCTTATATAAACACATATCTTCGTTCCCTGTACACCAAACTGCCTTTTCCACACGACAGATGCACAATATACCGCTGCCGATTCCGCAGTCTACTCTTGTGAAGAACTCAATAATTTACAATAGCGTGAAATTCTATAATCGCCTTCCTGCAACTATCAGAAACATCTCAGATATTTCACGGTTTCGAAGCCATTTGAGGAGCACTCTACTTCAACATGCCTTTTATACAGTTGATGAGTTTCTAAATGCCTCTATATAGGACTAAAGCCTTCCTGCTTCTGTTGCATGCATGTTAAATTTTGACTTAACTGTCGTTGTATTTATCTAGTCTTAAATTTGCCTGTCATTTATTTGTTGCCTATCTTTTTTTGTACCATTACTAACTTATTTATGTTAATGTTGTTTACTGACTGGATTTTGATCTCAATCTTAATATTAGTATGTAAAAATGCTTTGTCAATAGGATTTTTTGTTCTTTGACAATAAAGCTTGTTTTGAATTGAATTGAATTTGAATTGAATATACCTGTTGACAGTATCTGAAGTACATAAAGTCTGTTGATGTCATGTTGCCGAAAGTTTATTAAAATATGTACCATTTTCATTATTATAGTTATGGCCCTTTGCAAGTTTTTAAATTGTCGCCCTGTAAAATGTAGGTATGAAGCAACAACCATTTTACATAATGATTTGCAGTTTTCTCTTTGTCATTTTAGTTTGGGATATGAGGATATGTTTTATCATAATTTCTTCGGTTATATTTTCAATTTATTATTCAAGATCGTTTTCCAAACATTTCCTACAACTCTTCCATGCACACACTGGCCTTCAAGGATGTCTTTCTTGGTTTAATACTAAAAACTACTATAAACTGGAAAGCTTTTCATCTCACTGAAAATGGCATGAGTATTATATTTCTGTAAATATGTCCTGTTCATCTGGCCCTAAACTAAATTTAATATTTTTTTCTCACATACTTATTTTCAGGAACAACTCCAGTATATCCAAAAGAAGTCGATATAGATTTGTCCAAGTTTTCTGGATATGAGGATATTGCACCGGGACAAAAAAAATCTGGTGAAGAAGTTGTAGTAAATTTTCCATCAGATTTTAAAGGTTATACTACTGCCGTTTTTGTAAAATACCAAAACTAACAATATAAATTGTAGCTACCACCCCAATATATCCCAAAAAAGTCGATGTCGATTTGTCCAAGTTTTCAGGCTCTGAAGTAGTGTCACCAAGTGACAGCAGTGATACTACCAACGTAGTAGTAAATTTCGCATCGAATTTCAAAGCTACAACTCCAGTGTATCCAAAAGAAGTCGATGTAGATTTATCCAAATTTTATGGACCCGAGGAAACGGGTCCTGGAGAAACTGGCGACTACGATAATGTAGTAAATTTTGCCTCAGGCTACAAAGGTACTAGACAGTCAATAATTCAAGCAATTAATATAAATTTTATTTTTAGGCACAACACCGGTGTATCCTTTAGATGCAGGCATAGACTCATCCAAATATTCAGGTATCGAAGAACTACCGCCAAAGCAGAGTGATCAAGATTACAAGGATGATGTTATTGTAAATTTTGCTTCAAATTTCAAAGGTACCTATATAATTGAATTTACTATGCTGTGTGACACAAAAAATTCAAATTTTATTTTGACAGCAACTACTCCAGTATATCCCAAAGAAGTTAACATTGATTTATCCAAATTTGGTGAACCAGAAGAAATACCTGCTGAAAAATCTAATGGAAGAACCACAGTTGATTTCGTTGCCAATTATACGGAAGGTATTGTCACTGAATGAATAGTTTTCGAATTTCTGCGTTTATGGAGTAACAAAAATGACATTCAGTTTCAGAAAATTCCAATATCCCACAGTTATTATTATTGTCAAGCAATGGGCCACTTTCACATTTTTCAAAAACATATTTGAATTATTTTTCCAATACTATCTGTATACATTCGAATACTATCTGTACCTATACTTTTCTTACTTTAATGAGTACTATTCATCCTACAAGTTTGATCCCACATTCATTAACACCCTGTATAAACTAGGACGGTTTCATTTTTAAAAAGTGCGCTAGTTGCTGTTGTCATGGTATAGGTACCAGGCATTTGCATTAGTTCAATTTGTTAGCCCATGAATTTGAATTGACTTTCATTGGTGTGATCAAAGTTCAAACGGGCGTTCTTTTGCTGAAGTTCGGGAGAATAACCATCGTATTGTACTCTCAATTCTCAATAAATAATGACCAATAAAACCCGAATTGTCTACCTACCACCTTCAAATTTAAAATATTATTATTATTCTAGCAACAACTCCAGATTACCCTCCAAACGATAACATTCCTGGATCTATTCCAGAAGATTTTGGTCTGTTGCCACCACGCGAATCAAGCGACTCTCAAAGTGCGGCCAACAATGATTTATTTGGTCTTGTTCCGCCTCGTCAAGAAGTTGACAATAAACCTACAGGCTTCTTACCGCCACGTCAAGATAATGTTAAGCGAACGCAGACAATAAATTTTGGATCAAATTACCAAGCTACAACACCAGTATATCCTGAAAGTGTAGAGCCGTCAAGCCCCGACCCAAACGATATCGGATTATTGGCACCAAAATCAAATATTGAATATTCTTTGCCAAGCCAAGACATTCAACCTCCAAGCTTCGAATCGACATTTAAAAAAAGAATAGACGAAGAAGATCTATCTTTGTTGGGTAACACATTTAGCAGCCAACAACTGAATAGATTCATGGTTACAATAAGACCGGAACAATTAAGAGAAATTCAGGAATTGTGGAGAATTCCAGAATATGATTTTCCATTAGATAGTGCGGCATCGAGGCCTAGCTATGAAAGTCATTATAGTTCATTTCAAGCAAATAGGAAAGCTGTAAAAAATAGATGAATATATATTTTGTAAAATAATATTTTTTTTAAATGAATTTGAGATGTGTATGAGATAGTCTTGTGATTCAAACCTATTTATCTCAAGGTGCTTTACATATTGCAATTTAAGACTGAGTTGTACGACTAGGACATTCACATATACTTGTGCAGCTCATTCTTGTGAAAGAAGACATAATATTATGATTTAGGGAATTTGAATGATCAATTTTCTGTCAGAAAAAAATATGCCGAAATAAAATAAACGTAAGTAGGTATGCATAGGGCTCATAAAATTTTTCAGTTTAAAAAATTTACAAGTTTGCTCAAAAACAGTCTGTTTGTAGCATGTTGCACCCCACACCACTTTGTAGTCTATCTTAGGAGTATTATAATGCTTGTTAGATAATCGTTTAGTTCCTTTAGTTATAAAATCTTGACATTTTGTATATTGGTTTGAATTTTTTTTTGTAGTTCAATTAGTCGACTGCAATAATTTATACACGGGTTTAGTAACTTATTTCCTATTAATATGATTCATCGAGTAACATTCTAATAATTTAGAAATATTTGTATTTTTACTGACTGTCTTATTATAAATTTTTAAAAAATGTGTAAGATTTGATAATAAAATGATTATTGTGTATTATTAGATCATGAGGCAATTTTTATTCCTTAATAAACCTCGTCAAACTAACTTTGAAAAAAGGAATTTTCCTTAAATTTCAATTTTTCCGTCTCAATTTTTGTCTATTCCCGGCTCTTGAATTGTTCCTTCCGAATATCTCTACATAAAGAAAATTCAAAAGCCTAGAATAGAATCAACATACTTAAGTCTACTTATCTACTCGATTTTTCCTAAATTTCTGCTTTTCAATTCTCAAAGTTTTCTGTCTAAATTTTTGTCTATTGCCGGCTCTTGGATTGTTTATTTTTAAATATCTCTACATAAAGAAAATTCACGAGCCTGGAATAGAAACAACATATAAGCACAGCTTTATAAGTACTTAAGTCTACGTAAGATATACTCCATTTTCCCTTAATGTCTGCCTCTCAATTCTCAAATTTTTGTCTATTCCCGGCTCTTCAAGAGCCTCTTAATACATATAGGTAAGAGCCGGTTTATTCACTTTCTAATAAACTGTCAGGCAAGCTATGAGGTAATGCAATCTGGCGGATAAAAACACAATATGTAGGTAATCCCATTGGTCAACCAATTATCCAGTGACCAACAGGATTATAGATCTGTAATATCTTGCAGATAGTTACCAGCAAGTTTATCTCAAGATGAATGAACCGGGCCTATAAGATAGAGAACATTGGATGTTACCGAATACAATTTTAATACAAAAACAGATCTGCGAAAAAGTCGTCTGATCCAAGTAAGTCCATTCAAACATTTAAAATGCTGGAGGATGTATTCCAGCAGGTCTTTTTTCCTATTCCAACAAACATCCCAAGCAGCAAAGGTTAGTCGTTATGACGTCGATTTCAAATATATTTACGCCGATTAACAAAAATTCGACGTAGGGAAATAAGTTGCAAAATATGACTTACTGGGACGTCACGTAGTGGACGTTTATTTGACCATGACATGAACCAACAGGTTCAAAAGTTACCATGTAAAACCCAATCCAGTATGACCCATTCAGAAAAAATACGCTGTATTAAGACGTCTATGATGCCCCCATTTGACGTTGTTGAATTGGACGTATATTTGGTCAGTGTGGATCGATTGAAAAGTTATATATCTACAATCTACATAGTTATACCAGTACATATTATCCGATGCATAATAAGTAGGTATACAGTGGGTACCTACAAACATAAAAAAATTATCATTGTTTTACACTAAGTAGTTTTGGCAATTTTTGCCATAGTTGATGAATCATCACTGAAGTAAGAAAAAAAGGGACCAGGGCAATGTAAACAAGCTATTGTACCTTTCTTTTCTTATCTAGTTTTATATTCGTCATTTGGCAGTAGGCTATTGCGGAGAAATAAGCTATTAAAAAAATTATAATTATATTCCTAAGCCGTAGCGTAAGCTATGATCCTAACTCTCCTTCAAATCAGAATTTTGGTAAGCTACTTCTAGTTAATCATGTTTGGTATTAGACTTTAAGCATTTGGCTGCAGGCAACAAATCATGGTTTGATTATTTCTCTTTGGTATTGGTGTCCCCCGGGGAAGCCGTACGCCATAATAGGTTAGGATCTCATTTGTTACACGATTATAATATTAAAGGTAAGTGTAGCAGTGAGGCACTACCGAATACCGGCGAGAAATGGTTGAATTATGATTTGCTGTTGGGTGTCAGCTGCACAACGTGGTTTCTAGTGAATTCAGGCTAATGGGGATTTAATAGATTAGTTGAATGCACTTCAACTTCAAAGGAAAAATTGTTTTTGTGTTTTCCAGATAAAAAGTCAAGTGGTCATGTTCTATATTGTAATTGAAATGAAATTGAAATGGTCACGCCTCTAAAGAGGAATATAAAACCTTTCAAAGGAGGTACACACGGGCTAGTTTCTAATTTTAGAAAAATCATTAGGGGGGAGCAAGCCTCCAAGACAGGAGGGGTAGGGGTTAGGCTAAGTTGAAGTAAACAACTCAAATTTGCAAGTTGGTACCAAGAAAATCTTAAAAGATATAATTTGTGTTTTCAATACCTATTCCAAAAGTCTGGGTGGTCAGGGCCGTACTAAGCAGTATTATGACTATTGAAATGTTTTTACTTGCACAAAATTCAAAATATGTATATAATTGATTTTCTAATCAAACATTAATTTATAATTTTAGGTTCTGTGTTATGTTTTGAGCGGGAGAATTCACATAATTAATGGGTTTTTTAATTGAATTTTCTAATTTATAGGCAATTTCCTAATACAAATTATGTGAATGTTTGATAGTTTGGAATCGCTAGCGTTTACGGTTTTTGAGAAAATCGAGTTTGAAATTTTAGACAAAATGTCGACTAAATTTCAACTTTCACGCTCAAGATCTTGGAAACCTCCGAAAGTTATGAAAACCCTTGAAAACCTTATAGAGAATTTAACGCTCTTTTCAATGATATACCTATATGTATATTTATTATTAATTTACTCAAAAATAATGGAAGATATAGGCAATTATTCATATGAGCGTGTCAAGATTTCAAAAAATTTCCAGAGCCAAAAATGAGAATGAGATTTCCATTTGGATTTTTTCTCTCATGGAAATTTCTAAATGCAATTGATGTTATAGAGTTGTTTCTGACTAATTTGGACTCGCTCTATCAATTTCTGAAGTCATAATTAAGAAAAATTCAAAAATAGAAATTTTCAAGTTTTTGCCCTTTTTTCTAAGGGCCCCCTTTGGATTCTTATTTTGAAATCTTCAATCCTAAATATCTCAATAGCCAAAAGCGGTACTGGAACAAAATTTTCAGCAATTGTAGCTCTTGAAAGCGGCTTTCAGATGGTATTTAGCTGAAATCGCTAGCATTTAGGTATAGTTTTCGAGAAAATCGAATTTAAAGTTTTGAACAAAATTTTAACGACCCAACACTTCCAGACTCAATATCTTGGAAACTTTACAATCTACAAAAACCATGGCATGGGCATATAGAGAATTTAATGCTCTTTTGAATGATACATAGTTTTTATTAATTTGCTTAAAAATAATCGAAGTTATAAGCAATTATTCCTAAGCGTGTTAAGATTTCAAAAAATGTCCAGAGTCAAATAGTAGATTATACCACGAGTCAATAATGATAGCTATTATTCCCGAGGAATATTTACGAACTGAGCCGCGTTAGTGGCGAGGGAGTAACATTCCGAGGGAATAATAGCCATTATTGCGAGTAGTATACTCTACTTTATTTACGACAAATTAATTTATTTGAAATTTTCTTTTTAAAAACGCTCGTTGTTCATCCGTCTTAATACAAATACACAAGCACTACGCGTTTGACACTGACACTTTTGAGTTTAATCAGGTATATATTGTTTCCATGGTAGTACTACTTATTTAATTTGAGAAATTTTGTGATTGGTGTGCAAGCGGGAATAATGACCATTAATCCCTGCGGGAATAAAATATGGCATTATGCTGCCAAAATCACAAATATAATACTTGCATTATATGTCATTCGTAAATAAAATGATATTTCCTTTTGGATTTTTTTCTCATTGAAATTTCCAAATGTAATTGATGTTAGAGTTGTTTCTGACTAATTTGGACTCGCTCTATTGATTTCTAAAGTCAAAATTAAGAAAAATCCAAAAATAGAAATTTTTAATTTTTTGCACTTACCTACCTACCCCCTTTGGATTTTTATTTGGGAATCTTGAATCTTAACTATGTCGGTAACCAAAAGCGCTACTAGAACAGAAATTGTAGCCCTTGATAAGGTCTACAAGATGGTATTTAGTTGAAATCGCTAGCATTTACGCTTTTTGAGAAAATCGAGTTTGAAGTTTTGGACAAAATGTAGACTAGACTAAATTTCAACTTTGAGGCTCAATAATATCTCTGAAACTCTACAAGCTACGAAACCCAATTTTGCACAGGAATTATAGAGAATTCATTGCACTCTCCAATGATGTATAGTTATTATTAATTTGCTCAAAAATAATCGAAAAACAATTGAGAAACCTTAGTTATTTTAGAACAATTAGGAATCAATTTAGAACTCTATTGAACCAATTTAGAACATTCTAAAATGCTCCAGAACTCTTCAAGCTAAGTTAGAACACTTTCCAACGACATTTTGAACAATTTAAAAACCTCGGAATTGTTTCAGAGACCCTAGCGCCTGGAATAGACAAAAATTGAAAGTTATAATCCAGGTCTGTTCCAAAACTGTCCCAAGAACAGTTTCGCAGCCACTTTGTATACGATTTTCGGATTCTAGGCTTTGTTAAGAATCTTGACGGTACTTTGTACTATACAGTTTTCTGCTTTGTTGGAACAAAGCTAAAATAAACTTTAAAAAATTATTTAATACTAATTCGACCCTGTATAGCTAGAAAATGGGGATTTACACTTGCCGTCGGGGTAAAGTCTATACGAAGTCACTTGGACTAGTATAAAAACTAAATCCCCGCATAAATCGGCTTTTTCTTTGTCAAGGAAAGAAGCTGGAAAAGACACCAGAATTATGTAAAGTCATGGTAAGAACTTCAAAAAACCTGGATCCCATATGGTAAGATTTTACTATTTGTTGTCTAGTTTTTTTCATTTTGGACACTGGAATCCTAAAAGACTTTACCTACTTGTTGAAAGTGAGTTCTCCAATGTCCAGGGACAAAAATCAAATTGGGAAAAAATTAATTTCCAATGTTTTTAGTTTGGATTAGGTCTTCCAGAGGAAAAGATGCTGGATTTTGCCTCTAGAATATCTAAGACTTACATATTGATTTTGAGGCTCCCAGAACAACTTCCAGATTCAAAATTCAAGTTGGGGAAAATTGTTTTCAATATAATATTGTTCCATTTTGGTTGTGAAAGTTGTATTTTTGAGTAATTTAAGGGCAAAAAGTGTCTTTTACACGAGTTGCCAGACATTAAAATTTGAAATTTAGAATTTTCCGCCTTATTTTATTTCAATTTTTGTCTATGACAGGCTTTTGAATTGCTTTTTATTCATGAATTTTTAGCTTAATTACATTTAAAATGCCAGCTTTCAGATGCAAAACGATTGAAGCTGGATTGAAATTATTTATTTGTAGAGAATTTGATTGGCTTTAATTGAAGCCTAATAACGTTAAGATTGGACATAAATTAACAAAGTTGTGAGGCAAAATGTATGTTAGTGTCATTTTCCGGATAAAAATCATAGTCAAAACTTTGAAACTTTTAGCTGCAAAACTATTGATTACACAACACGAGGAAAATTGACTACGATTGAGAAACAATACAAAACCAAAAGTGGGGGCCAACTTGAGCGAGCCTCTTCCCTCCATGTTGCAATTTGCCAATTTTTCTTGCACACAACTTTCAGCAAAACCAAAAATAAATTATGATTTGCTGGAGGCTGGAGCACTCTCCCAACTTGTCTAGACGCGCAAGCGATTTTTGCCGCAACCACTTCCTGCCAATTTTGCGAATTGCTGGGAGAGGAAACAAGGACATAAACTTGCGATAGTTTGAGTTGCTCGTGTACTAAGCTTTACACAGATGAAATAAGAATTGATACCACTTAGTCTAACCTAACACAATGCTTGTATCAAAATTGTGAAGAGTAAAATGGATCAAACATTATTTGCACTTTCCGATCTTTATTTCCAAGAGTGATTCGACCGAAATCACTTCCATCAACCAAAAAAGTTGTATTAAAAAATGTTTGCTTAATGTTTAGCTTGATTATATTAACTTTTACTCTCAGACACAGACAGTTTTTCAAAAAAAAAAAAGAGAAAAACACCCTTTTTACAATGTATAACTAATGTTGATAACAATATTAATTAGGAGTGAACCTTGAGGTGCGTAAGTTGAGAATTGAAATCCAATTTCTATCAGCTTTTCCTGAATATGTTTTTGTGTTTTCTGAAAACATTGCACATATTTTTATTTTCTAATATAGGTACTCTATACTCCTTATCTGACTTAAATACATAATACTTTCAAAAAAAATAATTTATTATAACAATAAGATAATTAAAAGTAGAAAATATGCTACCTTAAATATTGAATTTGTTTAGTAACCGGCGGCGTGCTCAAATGCTTGACAACTTTAGGCATCAACTGCATTTTTTCCATTATAGATTTAGGAATACTGTCAGTATCTCGATAATTCACTACTTGTCCATCAGGATACTGATATCGTACGTGATGTTTGCCGTCAACCCATAATTGAGAACCATCGTTGTATTGTACTTTAACTTCTCCGTTGGGCATTTGAGTGGCAGTACCAACTCCTGGTACAGCAACACGCTTTCCTTTGTTAACGTTTGAAGTGCCAAAAGCACTACTTGGAGAGTAGCTAGTCATTGATGCACTGAACGATGGCTGAAACAAAAGAATTAAAAACATTCCATAGATTTTAAGCAAAATGCTTACCAATGCAGATTTTGAAAAATTCTCTTTTCCACAATTGCCCGTCATTGCTGAAGGTCTCCGGCCCACAATTATAGGAAAATTGTTTCCTTGCAGCCTTGATAAAGTTTTTTCAAGCAATAAACAATGTTCAAAGCATTCTTGTGAATGTTTCCACATTAGCTCATATGATCCTGAGAGATTCCGGCATTCATTGGGGTTATGGAAGTTGTATTTGTGTCCCAGTGAATCTATGATTGTTATACCGTCAGTAGAAGATTGGGTTACTTTACCACCTAAAATTATTGTTATTAGAGCCTACTTAATGTGTACTAATCCAAGTTTTTGCATAAATAGGATCTGTGAATGAACATTTCATTGAGTGAAATTTTTTTTACAATGAGGCGGAAAGTTTATCCCTTAACGTGTTGTGCTACTCAAGTCAGACAGTGGTTTGGATCAAGGCTTGAGCTATCGGTATTTGCTTATCGGTATTTGCTTGAACAATTATTTTTTATAAGAAATAGGACCAGACAATCCAAATGAGAATGGAAATGACCGAGGAAATGACCAAATTACTAAAGAGTATAAAATATTTGTAGGAATCTTGGTAGAAATATCCAAAGTTAGGTCACTCTGAAATTTAAAACTGCTGGATAATATTAGGACATTTATGTAATAGAACGTTTTTCTGGCAAAATAAGCTAAATGACTTGCAACATACAATAATCTGTCCTTTAATTTGAAAATTCGAAAATTTTGTTTAGAACCTTTGAGCGTATAGTTAGTTGTTCGTGTGGGTTGTTCAATTTTTAAGGTACCAAACAAAGGATTATATGGGATGTGACTATATTTAAAAAATTTCCCAGTTCTAACTCTAGTTCTTACCCTCATAAAAGCACACTTCAAAATCCGCCAAATTCTCCATTAGCAAACATTTGGCTTTGTCACTGTAATAAGTGACTTTCGGGGTTTTAGCTCTCACTAGTTCCACAAATTTAAATGCGTACATATATTTCTTCCAGTGCTTTTCAGGTAGATTTTCTATGCTGTAGATTTTGTCTGCACCTTGTGCAGGTAGAGGCGGAGTTTCTTCTGAGGGAGTTACGCTTCTTCCACCTTCAGGTTCGTACATAACTATCCTGAAGAATATTACCCATAATAATCGAATCAACGGCTATTTTTTTTTTTGCTTACCTTAAGCCATCAGGTGATATCCTCATAATTTCACACACCACATCTTTCTTCAAAGATCCTTTTTTCTTGATAAATTCAACAGCCACTTCTCCATCGCCTTGTATGCTTAAAATAGCATTTTTTGTTTGATGTCTTGTTGGAAGTAATCTTTGAGAACACAACTGTACTAAATTTTGAGACTTCTTAATAGACCCTGTATCAAGATTTTCAGTGCTTTGATAGTTGGGTACATTTGATGGAGCTTCTTGTGTCAGGTGAAGATTTTCTAGACTACATAAAACATTTTTAGTATCTACATGGCTTGAACACTCTGAAAGTAGTGGGGGTGATTTTGTTGGAATTCCTTTTAAAATTTGATTGCCTCCTCCAGGATCGTTTGGATGGTAATGATGGTTACTACACTGACTAACACTAGCAGGTAAATCATGGTAGCTACATCTACTACCAGGATCACAATTAGATCCATAATTAGAAAGGACCGGTTCTTGGGGAGTGTAGTTGTGTAAATTCGGTTGAAAACGGTTGGCATATTCCATACTTTGTGTCAAACGCCCAGATTGATACGGCATTTCAGAAGGGTAGCAATCACTATTGGCTTTTTTCGAATGGATTACATTATTGTAAGTGTTGTGAGCTAATATGCCATCACTGTAAGCACTCTCTCTTCGGCTTGACATTGTGTGTATACCACTATCATGTGTTAAATTATTAGTCATAACAAAGCCTCTTTTTATAAATGGATGATCTAAAATTTGTTCCAAACTTATACGATCTTTTGGATTTTTTTGTAGCAATGAATTAATTAAATCCTTAGCTTCTGGAGATAAGTGCTTTGGAAGGCTGTAATTTGCCATTACAACTCTAGTCAAGGTGCTCTTAACACCATTAGTGTCAAAAGGTGGTGCTCCAACTAAAAGAGTATAAAGTAAACAGCCAAGTCCCCAGACGTCTACTTCTAAACCATGGGAACCTCTTGTTGCTACTTCGGGAGATATAAAATTAGGTGTCCCACACATTGTTCTGTGTTTTTCATCTGGACGTGTTAGTTGCGTTGCTAATCCAAAATCAGCTATTTTCACTTGCATATCTTTAGTCAATAAAAGGTTTGATAAAGATATATCACGGTGAAGGATATTGTGGAAATGTAGATATTTAATTCCTTCGACTACTTGTTTCACTATGCTGCTTACTTCTGCCTCAGTCAACATCTTTCTTTTGATATAATGCTGCAATTCCCCATTATGGCATAGCTCAAGTATCAGATACACATAATTAGCATCTTCAAAAAAAGTATACAGCTCAAGAATAGAAGGATGCTTGAGCCTAGAATGTATGGATACTTCTTGTTGGACTCTTCCTACCATTCCTTCAGCCTGCATGAGTTTTTTATCAATCTAAAATTCAAATTGATGTAATATATCAAGAAATTCAGGAAGTGTGTAATAAGGGGGCTTACCATTTTGATGGCAACATTAACACCACTTTTTCGGCACATAGCTTGATACACAGAAGCGAAACCGCCTTTACCCAATACGTTGTGGACTTCATAGTCCTAAGAATATGCAATAAATCAAGGCAATGTAGTTCAACTATAATAAAAATTCAAATTAAAAAATATCAACTAACCTCAATTCTATCACTAAAGGAATGTTGTCCATTCATTTTGAGAGGATTTGTTTGGTAGATTAAAATAAAACACTGGAAAATTGTCGCTTAACGGTAACTCACTATTAAGAGCAATTTATGGAAGCAATTGCTCAAATGGTTTTATTGAAATTTTAATGCTTTTCATTTTGAATTTTTCAAACAAAACACATAAACAAGGCAACACAACAGTCAAATTTGTAGTTTGTTTGTATTTGAAAATTTGAGAATAACCTGCGCATGCGCATTTTTGACAAGCTTGGTAGCATTCAGTTGACGTATGTGCAAGACCGCGTTCGATAACTTGGTGGGCGGCATTTATTCCGTGCGTTCGGTATTTAGATCTGAGTTCTCCAAGCTTGGATTTATAGTTCGTTTATTTAAAAAGTTTACCCGGTGCAGCCTTATTCGCGTTCGTTTATTAAAATACGGCTCCGCTCAGCACGCTCTACTCTGAACAAAATACCGAACGCAAGGATTGTATTCCTTTTATACACTTGGCCAATCATAAAACTGGTACGCCTTTTTCTATTGTGTGGTGGTAGTTGTATTCCTTTCACACCTAGGAGGAGCTCCGGAACAGCTCCGGGGCTTCACGCGCTTATTCCTTTCGAAAAGTGTTTGTTGCACCACGCATATGTTCCCTGCAAATCGGGGGCGACTAAGCACCGAAGCGAGTAGCTCGAGTGTTTCAAGCTCTTGAAAGGAATACAACTATTGTGTGAATCGACCTTTTTTATCACTTCAAAAATGACAAAAAGAGTCAAGTCAGTGTCATCTTTAAGGACTTTAAGGGCGGGTATTATAAAACTATTTTGACAGATTAACTTAAAGTTAACTTCTGCAGCCGGATTAGAATTTCACTAGTCGACACGAGTCGAGCGTCTCGTATAGGCAACAACCACGTTATTTCTGAGTCGCATCCTTCGACTTCGAGCAATTAGAATCCCCATCCTGGAATGGCGTTACTTCCCATAGTAATTCCACAAGTTAACTTTTAGTTATTTGTCAAAATAGTTTTATAATACCCGCCCTAAGCCAAACATAACATAAAAACTAAAAACATTAACCGAATTTTCTTTATTATGACGTCAGGAGTTTCTCGCGAAAGCGTTTGAGTTCATGGAATCATGAGCCGCCTTCGGGTGCTCCTAGAACACTTCACACCTGTCAGTGACCTGTCATACTCCATGCGTTTCGCACTCGAAACCGAACGGACCAAACTGTAGCCGGAGTACTTCGGAGTAACTCTGGAGCGCTCAAAGGGTGCACCCGAAAGCAGCTATGGAAGTATTGTTCGTCGATTTTAATCTGATACTCGGACGGAATGTGAGCTGGTGGCTCCCTACATTAGAAAGCCCATGGTTACCTGACATCACACCTGTTTTTGGTATATGAAACACCCCCTCGCTCCTCATACCGCAAGTATCAGTTAAAAATCGACGAACAATAGTTTGTCGCGAAAATTCGGTTGTTGCATTTACCACAAAACATCCCCCCTTAGAAAGGTAAGTGCCGTGTTGAGAACCTGTCTATTACAGTGGCTAAATAAACCTTTACATACAGTGGCGACAATAGAGGTCCCGCCGCCATCTTGTTCCCTACCTCTTGTTACTTTTAAATATTAATATATAGGATTTAAATGGACATCTATCATAAAAAATTGAAATCGACGTATTTGATGACCATTATTATGTCCATCAAATACGTTGTTTTCCATGATTTATGATGGATGTTCACCTAAATCCCATATATTCATATTTAAAAGTAACAAGGGGTTGGGAACAAGATGGCGGTGTTTTCAATGTAAATATATGGGATTTTAGAACCAATCAAAAATGAGACAGCAATTGTCGCCACTGTGGGTTATAGAGTCACTGTACTGTCTATAAGTTTTCAGCGCCTCTAGTGACTGGGGGGGTAAGCTTTTGTAATTCTGGATTTATTGGCGAATGCAAAACGCAATTAGGGTTCGTTCGGTATCTTATTCGTTCCGGTGGATCGTTTGCACCATTGTTTGATTCTAGCGATTCAACACCACCACTTTAAAGTTTGTACCATTTTTTGGCATAAAATAATTGTGCCAAAAAGAAGAAACTCATAAAATCGGTAGTGTTGAAGCGCCTTCAAGGTAAAATTGACTAAGAATTAAGATGACAAATTTAGATATTTATTAAAGTTTAAAACAGAAAATATTAAAGAATTTGGAATTAATTACAATTATTGCGAAACAGTTTTTTTTCATGTAAGTATACATACATAGGTAGGTAATGCTAGTTAAGTTAAAGATAATAAGGACAGTTACAAGAAGTAATGACGTACATTTAACAATAGCTTGATGAAAAACTTAAATCGTAAATAAAATGACAAAAGAGGTCCTTTTCTCACAATCCAAAATCGTTGTTAACCTAACAAGTGAGGAAAGTGTTTCTGCACGTGATGGAAGTTGCACGAATGACAACAAAAAGCAGAGTTCGGACAAGCCTTTAAGTCCAGAAAATACACTTTCCGCATGTGTTAGGTAGAAAATTTATGTAGTTATACATAATATAAAGCTCATTCAAGAAAATGATTTCGCCTGGATGATAGAATAAATATTTTTGATAATAGTCTATACCCTTTACCACTAGCTTTAAGCAAAGACAACGCCAACAACTTCTCGTCCAATGTAAATCGTCTAGCTTTAGGCTTTTGGTTTTGAGTACGGACTTGGCTCAAAATAAAGCTGTATATCAATGGATTGACGTGGTCTACGAGCCTTTGAAATTTGGTTTATGATGCAAGTTATTCAGCAGCAGAAACTTTGGATTTAAATGACGACAACCTTCTACTGATTCTTCTTAACTTATTGCTGGCTTCTATAACTTTGGAATAAAGATATTTTTCCCTTGGGGATAGGAATTTTTTGCCTAGTGACGTTAATGTTCTTTAAAATTTGGCATCGTCTCTCATGACCTGCAAAAAAAAAAAATAGATCAAGATTGGAGACGAGCTTTTCGCACATTTAGCTTCTAATTTTTCTAGCATTCGACTGCAAGTTTTAGTAATTAGTAGTCTTTTATAGTAGTAGTCCTACTTGAGTTAGAATGTTTTAAAATTCACCTAGGGTGAAAGTACCTGTTGTCGGCCACTTAAGGCAAATTCTGGAATAAAATGGCGATTGAAAATTAGTGGATAGAGCGAATGGAATTTAAATTATGTTTTATGATACCTTATAGTATATTAAATTGATTAATGCAACAAAAAAGGGCTAAAAGGTTTTGCATTTTTATAGAAAAATGCTTTTATTCAAAAACGTGCATTTTACCGGTTGTCGGACAATCATCACATTTCTCGGACACAAAGGGACCCGTTGTCGGACGCGTGTCCGAGAAATACGTTTTTTCGTCCACATAAACTATTACACGCTAAATGGTACCAGTTTGGGCACTTCTCACAGCCAATATTTTATTTTGGAATTTTTAGTCAATTTTATTTTTCTTCCATCATTGATTGAACTTTTTTTGGTATTTTGTTTCTCTATAGTCTTTTCCTCTTTTTTCTTTGTTTGTGCTTCAAGTTTTTTTTCTTTGTCTCGTTTTTTCTTTCATAATATGATCTATCTCCATGCCTTCGATGAGATTGCACTTGGTAATTTCTCTTTTTTTTTTGTTTTCTTGGCTCTTATTTCATAGATTCCGGAAACTGGAGGTGGGCGACTGGAAGGACTTACAGCAACGGCAACATTTTGCATTTTAATGGGAGTTTTTTCTTGAGCCTTCAGTCCTATGTCTGTTGTTTTTTCAGGTTTCTCAGTTCCAGGAAAATGGCTTTGATCGTGTCCGCAAACTGGTCCATAGAATCTCGATACAGTCGTCTAAATGTAACTAATAAGGAAAATTAAGTTGGAAATCAAATAAGCTAGAAAAAGATACATATAGTTTCAACGTGCCGGACCAATTGTCGGACAGAGTGGCCGAGAAGAGGAGTCTGCCGATTTATAGGACCGGTTATCCGGACATTTAATAAAATTAACAAAATATTAATATTCATTTAATTTTTATGTTTATAATTCTAAATTAACATGTTTATAACTTAAAAACATCAAGAAAGTATCGAAAAATGGAATAGGAACATTTTTACTTACTATTTCCTTCTTAGCTTCCCACTAGCAAATTTTTTCACTTGATCAAAAGGGCTGTGTTGGGAAAAACAGCCGACATATTATTATTTTTCTTAATTTGATCTAGGCCCGTAAAAAGGGCAGTATTACAAAAACTGATGGGGAAATAGTGTCTGAAAGTAGGTATTACTTTAAAAAAGGGTTTGATATAATATTTTCCTATTTATTGGATATTTTGTCGTAAAGTGTCCGACAACAGGGGGTGGCCGGCTAACAGGTACTTTCACCCTACTCCCAACTGGGTGGTTATTCATTAAGCAATAACACTTAGGTACCTACCAATAAAAGTTTTAAGAGACAAAGTTGTTTGGTGACTTTTTCATGTTTGCAGATGTGATGGTTCCACTTGGTGTAGCAATGTCTGCCCGAATTGCAGAAGTTTCAGTAGATAAAAATTGACGACATGAAGGGCCTGGTTGATCTAAAACAGAAATTTCGTTACCAATGATTCTACCAAAAAAGTTTGGATACATGCATTGTAGAATATGGTGTACCTGTATGTAACCAGGAATATTTTAATTATTGTGTCTCCTGATAAAGGAATAAACATTTAAAAAAAAAGAAATGAATAATATTAGCTTTGTTCCAACACAGCAGAAAACCGTACAATGTACCGTCACGATTCTGCGCAGAAACTAAAATTGTTATACTGAGTGGTTTCGAAACCGTTCATGGGACGATTTTTTGACGTGTTGGAACAGAGTTATTATGTTTACCTACCTATGTCAATCATAGTTGCGAAACTAATTTCTGAAGGCGTCTTAGGACTCTTCGACGAGTTTCAACTGTGTCGATCTCCACTTTTTGCCATTTTGGTGATTGTGGTTTATCAATTAACGACTCCTCACTGTTTTTGATAATTGGGGCTAAAATTAAAATTAATTTTAATGTTTCTGACCTATGCTCCTTTAAACCCGAATTCTAACACGTTGTCGTTAATCAGAACTATGGGGAGGAGTAAGTGAAAATGTAAGTACGTCTTTCTCGCATATATCTAGTATTAACTTACCTTCAGGGAGATACAGCAAAAGCGCAGCATTCCATGTGAGTCTGGCTTTTGAATCGCTAACAATT